TCGAGACATAAACACAAATCTAGGTTGTTACTTGTTCACTTTTTTTATTTCGCTTTTTATCTTTTCTCGAAATCTTTAGGTTTGAAATTGCGTTTCAAAAATACCACATCCGGTACGCAACGGTTTTGCGTTATTGCGGGAAGTGCGTCATCAAACCGGAAGCGGCTGATCGCTTNGGGCGATAAGAACAAGCTCACTTCCAGGAAATTGCGGTTTTCCTCGAAAATATTTTATTTGTTTGCCGCGCAATTACAAACTGCGCGCTATTTATTTTTATACGCAAACCGCTTCCGGGAACTTTGCGGTTTTTCTCGAAATTATTTATTTCCGGGAAATTGCGGTTTTTCTCGGAATTATTTATTTATTTGCTGCGCAATTGCAAACTGCGCGTACTACTTATTTTTAAACGCGACCGCTTCCGGGAAATTTGCGGTTTTTCTTGGAATTATTTGTTTTACTGCGCAATTTATATTTTAGCGATGACGTCATTGTCCCGAACAATCTTGAACACGTTTGGACCTGTTCGAGTTCTATTTTTAGCGATGACGTCGTTCGCGAATTTTTTTCTCAGAATTTAATTATTTTACTGCGCAATTTAAAAAAATAATTGAACAGTACTACTATCTTTTGCGACGACGTCATCGACCGAACGACCTTGAACACGCACGAACAAGTTCGAACACGTTGCAACCAATGACGTCACCGATATCTGAAATAAAATAGAACACACGTCGAATATTGCACGCTTTTACGGCTTGCCGATAATTGGCTAATTCCGGTGGAGCCGATAACAACGCTCCGCCAACACCACCCACACTCCTACGTTATCTCTTCCGCAACACCCAACTCCTCAGATCCTGCTCTCATTATTACGAATATGCTTCCATTGACTCCTCCTTTCCCCTCCCCTTTGCGGTTTTTCTCAGAAAAGCCTCCATTAATTCCTCCTTCCTCCTCCACAATCATGACAGCATTACACGTGTAAATTCCCCCCTCCCCTCCCCCTCACCCCCTCGCGGAGCCCCTTAATCAGAACCCCCATATCTTAACTACTTACATTTGTAAAACTTTTTTGATATACTGCATGTTTCAGTTACTTTAGTGAACAATCGTAACGAAGTAACGGCAAACGAAAAAGAAGCTGCAGCGACGCCACCTTGTTTTGCTTCTTGTCAGCAGCAGCAAGTTGCGTGCGTATCGCCTCGTGTAGAACCTCGGGCGGTAGCCAGGGTGTTGCCAATGCAACGCCTTGCTCCTACGGCCCAACGTCGTCGACGAGAGGGGGCAGAAGAAGAAGCAAATGAATCTCCGCTGCGTAAGTTTACAAGCGATAAAACAAGAATTACTAACTTTTCGAATAAAAATATATATTAACTAGTGATTTTCACATTTTAGGAAGAGCCCGTAGAGATGAAGCGG